TCCTGAAAAGCTCTTGGAAAGGCCAAGAAAATGTGAAGGTGGGGTAGGGCTGTGGAATGCTAGAGAGGGGGATCAGGGGCTTGCACCCCCAAGTCTGGACCAAGAGGAGACAAGGTCCCCTCCTCTGGGGGGTCCCCACTGACAAAGGGCCTGGAGGGAAGCCGGTCACTGCTCCCATGAAAGCCAGATGTGCCACCTCCTCAGAGACCACCAGTGTCTATAGAATCTTCCTCACTGGAGTAGAGACCAGGGCCTACTGCCTCTGACAAGCCAGCTGCTAATGAGGGAAGGCACCCACCTAGCTCTCCTCCCGGCCCCCGGTGTGGGAAGAGGGAGGCAGAGGGATCTGAGAACTCAGCTGTGATACCCCTGTGCAACCGCGGGGAAAGGAGGCGCCTTGGACTCCTTAAAGAGGCTGGAGTTTTACAGAGAACTGGACACACTCCAACAGAGTCGCAGACTCGGCCTGAATTGTCATTAAAGGGCAATAAAAAGTGAAGGAAGCAGCTTGAAAGGAAAAAGAAACTTTGGGCTGTAAGTTGTTTAAACTGTTCCTCGGATTTGTTCAGTCTTTTTCGGGTTCAAAAACAGCACTGCCATGGCACTTCCCATGTTGATCTTAAGGCACATGTCTGGTTTGAATCAATTTGGGGGTGAATTCTTCAGAATAGATCTCCAACATTTCCATAGCCTGGACACAGCCTTGACTGCTTGAAGACCACTATCCTGTCTTAAAACTCAAACTCTTTTGACAGCCGGAAGCTGCCTGCCCAATAGCCAGACCACTCTGCAGTGTTGGCGAGTTGGGCTCAAGGGTCACAGAGTGGCTCCTAGGGGCAACGCCTACTCAACCCTTGGGGACGTTCCCTTTGCTCTGTCCTCCAGACAGGTGTCTCTTCCAATTGCCTTGTCCTTCTAGAAGCTTTCTCTTCCCTTCCTAAGCTTTGGGGGCAGAATCCTCATGTTGGTTCCCTTTGAGGTCAAGTTCTGGCTCCTCTGATCCATGTTGTTTAGGAGCTAGAAGGGGACACAGTGTCATGGTCAGCTTTTGCTTATGAAATGGACCAGGACAAGAAACACTATGAGTTTGAGTCATAGACTGAGGGTCTCTGAATTCACTGACTTGTCCTGGGTGCCACCATGGGAGAAGCCACAGCAAAACCAGGTGTACCTTAAGCACCTAGAAGCAAAAATCAGACAGTCAATTGCTTTCAAGAACTGGGGACAGAGCAGCAGAGCTGGTGGCTGGACAGCAGGCTGTCCTCCCTGCAGTGGGCTGAAGGCCCTTTGCACTGCACTGACAATGGAAGTGGTCGAATATGACTTTGCTGCTGCTGCTCCAAATAAATGAATTGATGGTGCCATGCACGCAACTCTGAGACCCATTCAGCCCCTCTGAGCATTCCTCTCCCTCAAGTTCATTTCAGAGC